CGCTACGGGGTCAGGGAGCTCACTACGGGGTCAGGGAGCTCACTACGGGGTCAGGGAGCTCACTACGGGGACAGGGAGCTCGCCACAGGGACAGGGAGCTCGCTACGGGGACAGGGAGCTCACTACGGGGACAGGGAGCTCACTACGGGGACAGGGAGCTCGCCACGGGGACAGGGAGCTCGCCACGGGGACAGGGAGCTCGCTAAGGGGACAGGGAGTTCGCTACGGGGACAGGGAGCTCACTACGGGGACAGGGAGCTCGCCACGGGGACAGGGAGCTCGCCACGGGGACAGGGAGCTCACTACGGGGACAGGGAGCTCACTACGGGGACAGGGAGCTCGCCACGGGGACAGGGAGCTCGCTACGGGGACAGGGAGCTCACTACGGGGACAGGGAGCTCACTACGGGGACAGGGAGCTCACTACGGGGACAGGGAGCTCACCACGGGGACAGGGAGCTCACTACGGGGACAGGGAGCTCACTACGGGGACAGGGAGCTCGCTACGGGGTCAGGGAGCTCGCCACGGGGACAGGGAGCTCACTACGGGGACAGGGAGCTCACTACGGGGACAGGGAGCTCACTACGGGGACAGGGAGCTCACTACGGGGACAGGGAGCTCACTACGGGGACAGGGAGCTCACTACGGAGACAGGGAGCTCACTACGGGGACAGGGAGCTCACTACGGGGACAGGGAGCTCACTACGGGGTCAGGGAGCTCACTACGGGGACAGGGAGCTCACTACGGGGTCAGGGAGCTCGCCACGGGGTCAGGGAGCTCACTACGGGGACAGGGAGCTCACTACGGGGTCAGGGAGCTCACTACGGGGACAGGGAGCTCACTACGGGGTCAGGGAGCTCACTACGGGGTCAGGGAGCTCACTACGGGGTCAGGGAGCTCGCCACGGGGTCAGGGAGCTCACTACGGGGACAGGGAGCTCACTACGGGGACAGGGAGCTCACTACGGGGACAGGGAGCTCACTACGGGGACAGGGAGCTCACTACGGGGACAGGGAGCTCACTACGGGGTCAGGGAGCTCGCCACGGGGTCAGGGAGCTCACTACGGGGACAGGGAGCTCACTACGGGGTCAGGGAGCTCACTACGGGGACAGGGAGCTCACTACGGGGTCAGGGAGCTCACTACGGGGACAGGGAGCTCACTACGGGGTCAGGGAGCTCACTACGGGGACAGGGAGCTCACTACGGGGACAGGGAGCTCGCTACGGGGACAGGGAGCTCACTACGGGGACAGGGAGCTCACTACGGAGACAGGGAGCTCACTACGGAGACAGGGAGCTCACTACGGGGACAGGGAGCTCGCTACGGGGACAGGGAGCTCGCTACGGGGACAGGCAGCTCACTACGGGGTCAGGGAGCTCACTACGGGGACAGGGAGCTCACTACGGGGACAGGGAGCTCGCCACGGGGTCAGGGAGCTCGCCACGGGGTCAGGGAGCTCGCCACGGGGTCAGGGAGCTCACTACGGGGACAGGGAGTTCGCCACGGGGTCAGGGAGCTCGCCACGGGGACAGGGAGCTCACTACGGGGCCAGGGAGCTCGCCACGGGGTCAGGGAGCTCGCCACGGGGACAGGGAGCTCACTACGGGGTCAGGGAGCTCGCCACGGGGACAGGGAGCTCACTACGGGGTCAGGGAGCTCACTACGGGGTCAGGGAGCTCACTACGGGGTCAGGGAGCTCGCCACGGGGACAGGGAGCTCACTACGGGGTCAGGGAGCTCGCCACGGGGACAGGGAGCTCACTACGGGGTCAGGGAGCTCGCCACGGGGACAGGGAGCTCGCCACGGGGTCAGGGAGCTCACTACGGGGTCAGGGAGCTCGCCACGGGGTCAGGGAGCTCGCCACGGGGTCAGGGAGCTCGCCACGGGGTCAGGGAGCTCGCCACGGGGTCAGGGAACTCGCCACGGGGTCAGGGAGCTCGCCACGGGGTCAGAGAGCTCGCCACGGGGTCAGAGAGCTCGCCACGGGGTCAGGGAGCTCGCCACGGGGTCAGGGAGCTCGCACGGGGTCAGGGAGCTCGCCACGGGGTCAGGGAGCTCGCCACGGGGTCAGGGAGCTCGCCACGGGGTCAGGGAGCTCGCCACGGGGTCAGGGAGCTCGCCACGGGGTCAGGGAGCTCGCCACGGGGTCAGGGAGCTCGCCACGGGGTCAGGGAGCTCGCCACGGGGTCAGGGAGCTCGCCACGGGGTCAGGGAGCTCGCCACGGGGTCAGGGAGCTCGCCACGGGATCAGGGAGCTCGCCACGGGGTCAGGGAGCTCGCCACGGGGTCAGGGAGCTCGCCACGGGGACAGGGAGCTCGCCAGGGGGTCAGGGAGCTCGCCACGGGGTCAGGGAGCTCGCCACGGGGTCAGGGAGCTCGCCACGGGGTCAGGGAGCTCGCCACGGGGTCAGGGAGATCGCCACGGGGTCAGGGAGCTCGCCACGGGAGAATCACGATGAGAGGCGACGACGGGCGTCACGGCGCGTGGTTGCGAGCCACACCGGTGGGTATCGCAATCGTTGCGCCCAGGCCAGCGTTAAAGGTTACGAGCAGCCCGAGGCTAAGCGGAGGGAAGGGCCTAAGAATGTACAAGTGTTACATTACAGTATTGCAAACGTGTTTCGATGCGAAGTCATCGGACCTATTTTGTTAACTGCCAACGCAAAATTAACTCTTCTTGGTCGACTCAAGATAAGCGCGTCAAGACGTGCACTCGCTCTACATTCACTTCTTCAAGCACATTTTCTTCCCTAGCCTCAGCTGCCGTGGTAAGATCATGAATGAGATGGCTAGGAGATGTTAACTACCTCGCCTGGTATGCAGGAGGTCGTGGGTTCGATCCCGACCGTGACGCCTGCTGCTGTATATTTCGAGTTTGCGGTGTCTCTCTCTCATCATCATCACGGTGGCTAGGAGATGTTAACTACCTCGCCTGGTATGCAGGAGGTCGTGGGTTCGATACCGACCCTGACGCCTGCTGCTGTATATTTGGAGTTTGCGGTGTCTCTCTCTCTCATCATCATCACGATGGCTAGGAGATGTTAACTACCTCGCCTGGTATGCAGGAGGTCGTGGGTTCGATCCCGACACTGACGCCTGCTGCTGTATATTTGTAGTTTGCGTGTCTCTCTCTCTCTCCCCGTGGTGGCGTGGATTTTTCTCCGCGTCCTCCGCTTTTCCCCCTCCACATTTAGAATCAACGTCACCAAGCGTTCAGAGTATTTGGGCTGCCATACATTTCCACGCGATGATTTTGCCACTTCGTTGGGCTATCATTTGTGAGAGCCCAGGTCGCTTCTGAAAAGCAACAGTATCGCTCAGTGTGGGGCCTTACACCTGCTAAAATAAACATAGTTTAGTTTAGATGTCGTCGGAATTCAAAGACTAACAACATGTTTTTTTTCCCTACTGTCGCTCAGCTGTCTTACTTCAACGTGGAACATCTGCGAACAAGATCTTCGCATAGCTCATGGGATTCCTCCAGCACAAGTAAACATTCCGATTCAGATTGTCTGAACGGCGGGGCTTAAAGAGGAGAGGTTCCTGCGGCACACGAGAGAGCCCCGGGCCCTCTGATCGTCCTGCGGGTGAAGCCAGCCAGGCTTGCCCCAGCAGAAGTTGCTTTCGCGCTGCTGCTACTGCTGCCTTTTTATTTCCGTGCCTCAGCGGCTTGTTGTGGTGAGCATGCAAAATGTATCAAAGCATGAAATCTTCTTGGTTCTTTCGGTAAAGTCACGTAGAAGGGAAATAATGAAGTAATAAAAAAACATAATAAAATCATTCTCACGACGTTTCGGCCACAACGCAAGCAGCCGTCCTCAGGTGAAGAACAGGTCTGTCAGAAAGACAGCGTCATTCAGACGCTGTCTTTCCGACCGCCTTTGTCTTCCCAGTTGGCGATGTTTACACACCGCACCAGGTACTCATTGGAGGCTGAGTCGACCTAGGGGAGGCCCACGACCGGTTCAGATAATCGTCACTGGGTGTTGGCCGTGAGCGGGAATTTGAACCCGCTACCGCTGCACACACAGACACACACACACAGAGACACACACACAAGACACACACACAGAGACACAAAGACAAAGATCCCCCGTATAGCCTGAACAGACTGTAGGGGCAAGTGCTGTTAGCGAGCACCTATGAAGGGGAGCGGTAGTGTAGCGGTTAGCGCGCTGCGCTATGAACCTGGCGACCCGGGTTCGATTCCCGCTCACGGCTAACACCAGTGACGATTATCTGAACCGGTCCTGGGCCTCCCCTAGGTCGACTCAGCCTTAAATGAGTACCTGGTGCGGTGTGTAAACATCGCCACTAGGGAGACAAAGGCGGTCGGGCGTGGTGCTGGCCACCCACCCCCTCGTGTACCGTTCCGGCCTTCATAGGTGCTCGCTAACAGCACTTGCCCCTACAGTCTGTTCAGGCTATACGGGGGATCTTTGTCTTTGTCACACAGAGACACACACACAGAGACACACACAGAGACACACACAGAGACACACACACAAGACACACACACAGAGACACACACACAGAGACACACACAAGAGACACACACACAAGACACACACACAAGAGACACACACAGAAACACACACACACAGAGACACACACAAGAGACACACACACACGAGAGACACACACAAGAGACACACACACAGAGACACACACACAAGAGACACACACACAAGAGACACACACACACAAAGACACACACACACAAGAGACACACACACAAGAGACACACACAAGAGACACACACACACACACAGAGACACACACACAGAGACACACACACAGAGACACACAAAAAAAGACACACACACAGAGACACACACAAGACACACACACACAGAGACACACACACACGCACAGCAAGCCACCAAAAAAGACACCATCGTGATGGGATCGTTGTCGTTTTACTGCCGCGAGACTTCAGACTGCTGCTCGTGGAAAGCCGGCGCGTGAATGGCCGCGTAAACACCAACAGCTGTTTACCTTCAGCCTCAGATTCCACGAAGGGAGCGCATTGGGGGGAAGACTCCGAGCTCACTGATGAGCCCCAACGCGGGCGAAACCGGTCGAGAAGTTGTCCACCCCTGCGTCGCCGCTGCCCCGTCACTCTGTTGTTGATCGGACGTGGGGTAAAGGGGACAGCGACGGAGCAATTCAGGAACGGCTCATGGCGTGTGCGCAACGGGCAGAGGCCGGGCGATCTCCGCACACGATTCCATCGCTCCGTTTGGAACTCTGCAGCGGCACCGCGGGCGACTCGAACGCATCTGGTGATGTAAACTGAAAACTACGAAGAATATACTATGAGACATCTCCTTTACCAGTGGCAAAATATAGTGATAGGTTTTTACCCTTTCAACTGGAACAAAAACTGACACCTTTATACAAGGCATCTTGTTTGCAATAACCACAACACAAGCAGTCAAAATGCAAACAAAAAGAAACAACTCTGATAATGATAATGATATGCACTGTCCTTGAAGTTGATTGGTCCACACCCAAGACAGCTTTCCTTAGAGCCTAGTCTCCATTGGTGTTGGACCAGATGACGCCAAAAGGCGCACAACTCAAAGACAGCGCACTATCAGAGTATTGAGAGCTCGGGGTAAGCATTTACACTGAGACCTCCTTTACCAGTGGCAAAATATAGTAGTAGGTTTTTACCCTTTAAACTGGTACAAAACTGACACCTTTATACAAGGCATCATGTTTGCAATAACCACAACACAAGCAGTCAAAATGCAAACAAAAAGAAACAACTCTGATGATGATAATGATATGCACTGTCCTTGAAGTTGATTGGTCCACACCCGAGACAGCTTTTCTTAGAGCCTAGTCTCACATGGTGTTGGACCAGATGACGCCAAAAGGCGCACAACTCACCGCGTGTCAGGCCCCACCGAGTTGGTGCAGCTCTTTTTTCACCAGCAACCTGGCTACCGCAAATGATCGCTCGCACGAAGTGGGCTCATCGCGTGGAAACTTATAGCAGCCAAATACTCTACGAACGCGTGTGACGTTTATCCTAAACGTGGAGGGGAAAAAAACCCAAAGGGCCGGAGAAAAACCCACGCGACCACGGGGAGAGAGAAACGTGCAAACTCCAAATGTACAGCAGGTGTCAGGATCGTGATCGAACTCACGCGCACCTGCGTACCGGGCGAGGTAGTCAACATCTCACCACGGGGAGAGAGAGAGAGACACGCAAACTCCAAATGTACAGCAGCAGGCGTCAGGCTTGTGGATCGAACCCACGCGCACCTGCGTACCGGGCGAAGTAGTCAACATCTCACCACGGGGAGAGAGAGAGAGACACACAAACTCCAAATGTACAGCAGCAGGCGTCAGGGTTGTGGATCGAACCCACGCGTACCTGGCGAGGTAGTCAACATCTCGCCACCGCGGGGCATGTAAATATGTGCAATGAAAAAGGCCCATTGCCCGAAACGTCGCCTATTATATATTTAAGGCCACACACGTTGTTATTGTTATTGACGAACGCGTTGAGACCATTTTTCATTCATTACTCGGTGGTAGTCGGTTTCCGCGACCAATATTCACCCACAGGAGGTGTCTTTGGGTTAAATCGCGTGAAAATAAATGTGTCGTCAAACGAGGCCAATGAGTTAGGAGCTCAGCACCGCTGGTTGCGTGTTGGAGAGTAAACCAGCGGCGACGTTTAAACCCACAGCCATTGTTTAAAATTGACACAATCACATCGACGCAACCAAAAACAACCCTTCATTGAATACACTGGTCAACACACTTTTTCTGGCATAAGGTATTCCAACGGTTTTTAAGGTAATTTTGGGGTGCTGATTCCAAATCTGGCATTAGTTTTTGTCCATCAAATCAGGTTTTTGAGATCTCAAATATTGCATTTTCAATAAAAACTGCAGAAGAAAAATATTAAATAAATGTGGATATCTACGTAAAATTATATTATAAACACACTATCCTAAAAATACAGCACCACATTTTAACACTAAACCAGTCACTGACTCGCAACAACTTGCAATCATAAGTGACAGAGTTAATTTCGGGTAAAATCAATGAAAATGGGGTATGCCGATAGCATAAAAATGAGATGTGATAGAGCAAATCTGAGATCAGATTTGGAATCAGCACCCTGAAATTAGTCTAGAACAGCTGCAAAAGTCCAGGCCACAAAAAAATGTTTTTTTTTGTTGACCAGTGTTATTGCTAAAAAATGAAATTAAAATTAATAAAAATAAAACAATAAAAAACAATTGTTTTATTTTTATTAATTTTAATTTCATTTTTTACCTACGTGACTTTACCGAAAGAACTAAGAGTATGAATCCTTGCAGTCACGAAAGCTTCAAATCTAGAAGTGTTATTGCTGCTGGCAATCCGATAATCTACCCCCCCCCCCCCTCCTTTTGGTCTCGCAACTCAAGTCCCCGTCACCATTCTTCGCGTAACTTCCTACCGTGGGGGAAATGTTTTTTCAAAAAACATTGTTGCTGCCGTCGCTAATTGCGGAAACGTCTCTTTTCAAACGCTACTTATCAGGGCGACGCATGCAGTGCCAAAACTTTCGCGCGACCGCAAAAAAGAACTGGCACGCTGAAATCGTCATCTTGGAGGAGGAGGAGGAGGTTGCCCGTGGCCTGCCTCTCGCGTGTGGACTCTCTCTCTCTCTCCGGGGCTGCGCAGTTTCCTTCCACAAAGACAAAGATCGCCCCCCGCCCCGTATAGCCTCAACAGACTGTAAGGGCAAGTGCTGTTAGCGAGCGCCTACGAAGGCCGGCACTGTGGCACACGATGTGGGTGGGTGTGTGGCCAGCACCACGCCCGGCCGCCTTTGTCTCCCGAGTGGCGATGTTTACGCACCGTGCCAGCTAACCGATTCGAGGCCGAGTCGACATAGGGGAGGCCCAGGACCCATATTCTTAGGTTTTTTCGGTAAAGTCACGTAGGTAAAAAATGTAATAAAAGTAAAATAACATAAAAATCACGACGTTTCGGAGGCAACACAAGCTTCCGTCTTCAGGTGGAACCGTCACAGCACGATAGCTGTATCACGTAAATGACCGGTTCAGATAATCGTCAGCGGCGTTGGTGGCCGTGAGTGGGAATCGAACTCGGCTCGCCGGGTTCGTAGGCACGGCTGGCCTCGCTGGGCCCCGTGGCCTCTCCCGCGCGGACCACATATATCACGGCGAGGCGGCGAGTCGGGCATTGTATGGGCACACTTCCCGTGGAAGGAGGCACGGGACCCTGCCGAGGATGTTGATGCAGCAGCAGCAGCAAGCAATCAGCAGCACTGTACGATATTCTTAGGTTTTTTTCGGTAGATTCACGTAGGTAAATAATAAAAATTAATTTTAATTTTTTATTTTAATAAAAAAAATTCATATTCTTAGGTTTTTTCGGTAAAGTCACGTAGGTAAATAATAAAAATTAATTTAAATTTGTAATTTTTTATTTTAATTAAAAAAATTCATATTCTTAGGTTTTTTTTCGGTAAAGTCAAGTAGGTAAATAATAAAATTTATTTTAATTTTTATTTTTTATTTTAATAAAAAAAATTCATATTCTTAGGTTTTTTTTCGGTAAAGTCACGTAGGTAAATAATAAAAATTAATTAAAATTTGTATTTTTTTATTATAATAAAAAAAATTCATATTCTTAGGTTTTTTCGGTAAAGTCACGTAGGTAAAAAATTAAAATTAATTTTAATTTTGTATTTCAATTAAAAAAAAATCATATTCTTAGGTTTTTTCGGTAAAGTCACGCAGTGCCCGTCACGACGCGTGCCAGACAATGTTGTCGACGCTGACGATTCGTAATTGTTGTAGCTGCTCTCTCGCTGATTCAGCAGTCCCACTGCTGAATTATATTTTTTTTCCGCCTGAGGATGACCGCTTGTGTTGCGATCGAAACGTCGTGATTTATTTCATTTTCTACCCACGTGACTTTACCGAAAGAACCAAAGAGTATGGATTCCTGCAGCCACGAAAGCTTCAAATCAAGATTGATTCGTAATGTTTTTTTTTGCCAGACGTCCCGTAGAGTTGCCTTGTCGCTGATACTGCGCTACACATCGTGGTGTCGGCCAGGCGACGACTCAACAGCGGTTCAACTTTCACGGTCTCACTGATGGTGGTGGTGGGGGGGGGGGCTTCCTCCGATGCGTCCGACAGGCAGAGCGCCCCCCTGAGCGCTCTCGCTATTGATCAGAGGTCGCAAACGGGTTTTGATTCCTTACCCGTACCCGGCCGCACCAGGGTCGCAAACGGGTACCCGTACCCTACCCGTACCTGGCCGGGTATCGGGTAGGGTACGAGTATCGGGTACCTGATTGCGACCTCTGGGATGAAGCCATGTTTCAAACGGTGACTCACCAGTGACTCACGGCCTACCCGTACCCGTACCCGGCCGCACCAGGGTCGCAAACGGGTACCCCTACCCGGCCGGGTACGGGTAGCCGGGTATCGGATAGGGTACGGGTATCGGGTACCCGGTTGCGACCTCTGCTATTGAACGACGCCGATAGCATAGCCCAGAGTGCGCCGCCGCCGCCGTCGTCGTCGTCGTCGTGATCGGCGGAAGTCAGAACCCCGAGCACTTTGTTGCGTGCAACGAGCGCGGTGGCCTCATACGAACGCTGCGTTCGCTCGGCAAACGGAAGCCCACGACGGATCTCGGAGCGGGCAATCGCAGGGGCTGTGCCCTCGTCGCCTCCAGTCGGAGCGTGCGCGGCAAGACGGCGGCGAGCGGTTGCAGCGAGCGGTTGCAGCGAGCGGTTGCAGCGAGCGGTTGCAGCGAGCGGTTGCAGCGAGCGGTTGCAGCGAGCGGTTGCGAGCATTTGCAGCGAGCGGTTGCAGCGAACGATTGCAGCGAGCGGTTGCAGCGAGCAGTTGCGAGCGGTTGCAGCGAGCGGTTGCAGCGAGCAGTTGCGAGCATTTGCAGCGAGCAGTTGCAGCGAACGATTGCAGCGAGCGGTTGCAGCGAGCAGTTGCGAGCGGTTGCAGCGAGCGGTTGCAGCGAGCGGTTGCAGCGAGCGGTTGCAGCGAGCGATTGCAGCCCGCGTAAGAGGCCGGGTGCGGTGCATTCCTGTGGCTTGTTCGCTCTCGTCTTG